AAAAAAGAAAAAAAGGAGAGGCTGGGAACTTCAGTCACCCACCAGCCTGAAAACGGCCCTCAGCCCGTCATCCAGACTGGCCAGGCACCCCAGTGGGAACCCCCACCCTAAAGGGGGTGCGAGCAGCCTAAAAACAGCCATCAGCCTGTAATCCAGGCTGGCCAGGCACCCAAGCGGGACCCCCACCCTGATCCGGGACACCCTTCAGGGAAAACCAGCTGGCCCCCACCCTTGCACCAGGCCTCTATCCTATACTACAGGCAGGGCAGGACAGCGCGAGCTGCCATCTGGGCCCCATGTGTAGCTCTGAGCAGCAGGGCATAAGCCCCACCCCCACCCGGGACCCCTATGTGCCACCTGAGCCCCCAGCCGGGACCCTCATGCCGCCTAAGCCCCACACTGCTAAGCCCCGCCCCCAGCTGGGACCCTATGACTATTGGAGAACAGGAAAGTGCCGCTGGGCCCTGGGTCACTGTGGTGAACCAGCCATTGGTAAGTAGAAAAGTGCGGCCTGTAGGCAGCCCCCAGCTGCGCCTGTTCAGGGAGCAGGAAAGCCCGGCCTGAGGGCAGCCCCGAGCTGGGCCTGCTCCCCGGTCGCCATGGGGATCCGGGAGCAGGAGAGCAAGCCCGGCCTGCGGGTAGCTCCAAGCTGGGCCTGCTCCATGGTTGCCATGGAGACCTGGAAGCGGGAAAAACTGGCCTGTGGACAGCCCCCAGCTGGGCCTGCTACCCCGTCACCATGGCAATCCTGGAGCAGGAAAGTCCGGCTTGCAAGCAGCACCCCCATCCTGGCCATAGCTCAAGGGAGAGTACAACATGCAGTGGAGGCCAGGAGCCTGAGAGATCAACACAGAGGGGCTCCTGCTTCAAGCCTCCATGGTGTGGCTGGGGGCAGGCCCCCAGCAGAGAGAGAGAGAGACACACACACATACACATACACACACAGTGCCTGCTCTGAGTCTCCAATGTGGCTGGGGGCAGACCCCCAGTGGGGACACACACACACACACACACACACACACACGATGCCTGCTCCAAGCCTCTGCTGCCAGACTGTGGCCATCAGTAGGACATCCACTGTGGGCTCCCGGACTGTGAGAGAGGCAGGCTGGGCCGAGGGAACCCCCAGCCCCCAGTACATGAATTTCGTGCACTGGGCCTCTAGTCTATACTAATAAAAGGGTAATATGCTAATTAGACTAGGAGACCTTCCAGGAGACCTTCCGGACATTCTTCTGGACAAAGCCATGGTGGCTGGGCCAAGGTAGAGGCGGTTAGAGGCCAAGAGGGGAGGGCAGTTGTTGGTGATCAGGCTGGTGAGGGGCGGGGCCACTGGGGATAAGCAAACCAGCATGGGGGCGAGTTGGGGGCAAGCAGGCTGTCAGTGGGGGTCAGTTGGAGGCGATCAGGACAGCGGGGCGGGGGGGGGGGGGGAGTGAGTTGGAGTGAGCAGGCCAGCAGGGGGGCAGTTGGGGATGAGCAAGCCAGTGGGGAGGGAAGGTGGGGGCAAGCAGGCCACCACGGGGAGCAGTTGGGGTGAGCAGGCTGACAGGAAAGGAAGTTGGGGGCGAGCACACTGGCACGGGGGCAGTTGGGGGTGATCAGGCTGGCGGGGGGAGGCATTTGGGGGCAAGCTGGCCGGCGGTGGGGGGCAGCTGGGGGTAAGCAGGCCAGCAGGCAGAGTGGTTAGGGGCAATCAGGCAGGTAGGCAGGCAGGTGAGCAATTAGGAGCCAGCAGTCCCAGATTGCGAGAGGGATGTCCGACTGCCAGATTAGGCCTGATCCCTGTAAACCAGCGGGACATCCTTCGAGAGGTCCCAGATTGGAGAGGGTGCAGGCCGGGCTGAGAACACACGCACCCCTGTGAATGAATTTCATGCACCAGGCCACTAGTGTGTGTGTATCTACACTAATAAAAGGCAAACATGCAAAGTGACTGAACCTTCGCTACGCCTTAAGCCACACCCACCAGCCAATCAGAGTGACTATATGCAAATTAACTCAACCAAGATGGCAGCCGGCAGCCACGGAGCTGGAGCGAGCAGGAGGCTTGGTTGCTCCAGTAATGGAGGAAGCCAAGCTTCCCACCTGCCAGAGCCCGGCTCTGAGCTCCACTCAAAGCAGCAAAGTTTCAATTATAGAAGGTAAATAAATCCCAGAATAAAAAAAGAAAAAACAGAAAAAAGGAGAGGCTGTGAGTTTCCGTTGCCAGGGTGAGTGGGGGATGCGGGTGAGGGCTTGGGCAGCCTGAAAATGGCCCTCAGCCCTTCACCCAGACTGGCAAGGCACCCCAGTGGGGACCCCCACCCTGAAGGGGGTGAGGCCAGCCTGAAAACAGCCATCAGCCCCTCACCCAGGCTGGCCAGACCTCCATGGGGTGAGAGTCCCCACTGGGGAGGGCTTGACCAGCCTGCAAACAGCCACCAGCCCCTCACCCAGGCTGGCCAGGTACCCCAGTGGAGACCTCCACCCTGAAGGGGGTGTAACCACCCTGCATACAGCCATCAGCCCCTCACCCAGGCTGGCCAAGCACCCCAGTGGGGACCCCCACGCTAAAGGGGGTGTGACCAGCTGCAAACAGCCATCAGCCCCTCACCCAGGCTGGCCAGGCACCCCAGTGGGGACCCCCGTGACCAGCCTGCAAACACCCATCAGCCCCTTACCCAGGATGGCCAGGCACCCCAGCGGGATGCCCACCCGGATCAGGGACACCCTTCAGGGAAAACCAGCCAGACCCCACCCGTGCAACAGGCCTCTATCCTATGTAATAAAAGGGTAATATGCAAACTGACCCTAACAGCAGAATGACTGAGAATGACTGGTCACTATAACACACTGACCACCAGGGAGCAGATGTTCAATGCAGGAGCTGCCCCCTGGTGGTCAGTGTGCTCCCAAAGGGGGAGCTCTGCTCAGCCACAAGCCAGGCTGACGGCTGCCAGTACAGCGGTGGTGGTGGGAGCCTCTCCCACCTCTTCAGCAGCGCTAAGGATGCCCGATTGCAGTTTAGGCCTGCTCCCCGCTGGCAAGTGGACATCCCCAGAGGGCTGCCGGAGGGATGTCTGACTGCCAGCTTAGGCCCGATCCCCCAGGGAGCCGGTCTAAGCCAGCAGGTGGACATCCTCCGAGGGGTCCCAGACTGCAAGAGGGCATAGACCGGGCTGAGGGACCCCCCGAATGCACACATTTTTGTGAACCGGGTGTATATATATATATATACACATATATATATATATACACACACACTGCCCAGATTATTATGACCACCCCATCAGTACAATGAAGTGAATTAGTTATGCAAATAATAATAATAAAACGTTAAGAGTATTTGCTTAGGAAGTAATCAATAATCAGTATTTGTGGTAGCGTCAATGAAGTACTGATGGGGTGGTCATAATAATCTGGTCACTCAAGTGTATATAAAATAGAGAAATATGCTAATTAACTGGGACCCCTAACAGGTCCACAGGACAGGAGGAGGTTGCCGGGCACAGCATTGGGGGCAGGGAGGCAGGGGACTCCCTGCACCTGAGCTGGAGGAGGGCCTGATCAGCTGCAGCATGGATGCTTGAATGGCCAGAGAGGGAGTGGCCAGCAGCAAGGCTGGACTCCTAGTTTCTTGATAAAAAGCATCCTGTGGGGGCAGACTCAGTCATTTCTTGTCCCAAGTCAACTCCTCTTGCCATCCCAGGAAATGACAGGGGGCCCATCAGGAACAGTCTCTCCCTCTGTGTGAATAAGGGTTTCAAATGGAATGAAATAAGCATATAATTGGCAAACCTTATAAAGTGGAAATGTATAATTCTCAGTCAAATCTGTTTAAATAATTCAGTTGTTAACTTAACCATATAAACACACAAGCAGATAGATCACAACTTAATCACCCACATCCCATCAGCTACCCTCTCATTGAAATTAGGGTTTCCCTCCTTCCCATTACTATGTATTTCTGTCTATGGATCTGTCTCTGTCTCACTGTTCCCTTCTTCCCCACTGTGGTCCTTTCCTATATTTCACTTCCCTGTCCCTTGATCTTTCCCTTTTCTCTGTCTGTCCTACACCTGGACCATGAAACTCCTGAAACCTACTTCCCTTCAGGGGCTCTTTCTCCTGGTCTCTGAGGCTCCATCTCCACCCACATCTGCGTCTGCCCCTCCCCACGCCCGTGGCCCCTCTGCTGCCTGTTCCCCTCTGTCCGCTCCCACAGCTGCTGACTCAGTGCTGCTCCCTCTGCTCCCTCATCCCTGAGCCCCCCTTTCTGTCCCTGCACTCGCTCCCCCAACTCTTCTCCTCTGAACCAGTGTCTCTGTCTCAAGAGCCTCCTCCTGTGAGGCCCCCACTTCTGCTCCCCAGGACCCGCTCCCTCTCAGCCCCCCTTCCTCTCTCTGGGCTCCCCCTCCTCCCTGTGTCTCCACTTCCTTCCTCCTCAGGCTACTTTCCCGAGTGACACCCTCACTCCTACCGTCGCCGTCCAGTCCCCCCCAAACCCCTATGGGCCCCTCTCTGTGGAGCCCTCGCTGCCCTTTCTCCCGCCCACGTGTCTCTCTCACTCCCTCTCCTGACCCCCCAGCCTGGGCCCCCGCCCCCCGCGGTCACCGCGCCCACAAAGCCCCTCCCTGCGGGCAGGTCGCCTCTTCAGGGGACATCGTGTTCTTCCCCCTGATCCCACCCCAAGGACACTGGGCTCCCCGGGCACGCAGACCCCTTATTAAATGGGGGTGGGCCTAGGAGCGGGGTGCAGACCCCCAGGTCGGGAGCAATCCGGGCTCTTGGGGCGGGAAGCGCCGGGCAGGGGGAGGGCCGCAAAGGGCGGGAACCCCCTGACGCAGACTCTCAGCCCCGCGGGGAGCACCGGCGGCCCCGGGAACGGTTTTCAGCAGGAAAACCTCGCGGCAGGCGGTGGCCACAGCCACAGGCGGAGTGACCACGGGCCGGGCCTCAGTTTCCTCCCAAAGGAACGTGGCGCCCGCACCGCGCAGCCTCCCGGGACGCGGACTCACCGCTGAGAGAGGCTCCGGGGCGGGGACCCCAACAAGGACTTCAGCGCCGGCAGCGCCCTCAGCCTTCCCTGCGGGGAGGGGACGGGGAGCGTCAGCTTTAAAGACAAACACCCTCCTCACGGAGAAGCCGCCATCTTGCCCTCCACAGCCGGTTCCGGGTCTGCAAGGAACTGCGCATGCGCCTCCCTGCGGGGTGGGCGGGGCCAGAGCCTGAGCTGAGCGACTCCGCGATGGGGGCGGGGCCGAGCCCGGCGGCCAGGCCTGTGCAGGGACAGAGGGAGGGAGGGCGGGGCAGGAGCGAGGGGGCAGCCCCGGGTCCCCGCACCTCCTCCCACAGGGACAGCCCTTCCTGGGGGAGTTTCCCACGTCATTGTCAGGGTTTTGGCTGGTGACGCGGCTGCAAAAGGATTCACAAGGGAGAGAAGAGACAGGAGCAGAGGGAGGGCGTTTATTTTACTTCTTTAAAGGGAGGAAAGGGCCAGGGGCCCTCTGATGGCACAAGGCACCCCAGATAGAGGGGCTGTTTCTTTATTAGGGTGCTAGCGAGTAAATGGCAGCTGTGGCAAAAGCATGAAGAGGGAGGAGGAACCTGGAATTCACACAGAAGTTTCCCAGCTCCCAGAGGCTGTGCTGAGAGCTACTGGCTGGTCTGCCCTTCAGCTGCAGGTGTCCCAGGGAGGGGTCTTTCCCAGGATCTTCACAAGCCGGGAGCACATTCTCACAGTGAAGTTACAGGGAACTTAACAGTCGGGCTGGTCGGGTTTGAAACCAGAAACTTTCTGCCTGCGATTAACCTGGATCCTTAAACCCTCAGTGAGGAGGGGGGAGGGGAAGGGCATCCTGCTCTCTCAGCCCCTCCCTGTCTCCCCATCTGAAGGGAGAGGCAGCTTGAGTTAGGGAAGCAGGTGGATGGGGGTGTCAGAGACAGACCCAGATATCCATTCATGGTTAGGCCCCTGATGAGATAAGATCCCATCCAACACTGTGGGGGAGATAGTGTTATTCAGATATTTTTCCAGGGATAAAAATGTTCTGTTTGTGGTCTTTGAAGCTTTTGTGTTCTGGGAGTGCATTTTGAAATGCATGTCTTTAATTTAGTAGTCCCTATAATCTAGATAATGGGCCATTGACAATAATGTACAACGTCTCCTGTTAGTATTCCTTATATTTGGGAAACAAAATAATTCAAAAATCAACAATATTTAAAACAGTTATAAGAATAATAACTGCCAAAGCCGGTTTGGCTCAGCGGATAGAGCGTCGGCCTGCGGACTGAAGGGTCCCAGGTTCAATTCCGGTCAAGGGCATGTACCTGGGTTGCAGGCACTTCCCCGGTGGGGGATGTGCAGGAGGAAGCTGATCAATGTTTCTCTCTCATCGATGTTTCTAACTCTCTCTCTCCCTTCCTCTCTGTAAAAAATCAATAAAATATATTTTTTTTAAAAAAAGAAGAATAAGTATTATCAGTTTACTTAGTCTCATCACCATTTTTTAATTTTGGGGGGAAATTTAAAATGCATTTCTAAATAACTCATGAGGGAAATTATAACATACTTGTTACTAAATGACTATAAAAATATATACAAATTTGTGAGAGTACCTAAAGTTTTATTATTTAAAACAAATGTAAAAATCAAGGAAACAATAAAATCAATAAAACCAAAATTGAGCTCCTTGAAAATGTAATGAAAACTAATCTCTGGTAAAACCCATCTAGGAGAAGACACACAAAAAACACAGAAATGATACTCAGAATAAACAGGGCTGTATTTGTAGATATGACCAATTTTTTTTTTTCTGTTTCTAGTTTATTTTTTTCATTGGATTCCACATATAAGTGTAATCATATGGTATTTGTCTTTCTCTGACTGGCTTATTTCACTTAGTATAATACTCTCCAGGTCCATTTTCGAATATTGTCATGAATATAGATATTCCCTAGAGCAGGGATCCTCAAACTACGGCCCACAGGCCACATGCAAATACAAATATTGTATTTGTTCCCGTTTTGTTTTTTTACTTTAAAATAAGATATGTGCAGTGTGCATAGGAATTTGTTCATAGTTTTTTTTTAAAACTATAGTCCGGCCCTCCAATGGTCTGAGGGACAGTGAATTGGCCCCCTGCCCTAGAGTTTTATGAAACTTTATTTACTATACAGTAAGTAATAAAGAGTAAATTAGACCAGAGGATTATGTTTAACCTACATAAGTATTAGTCACTTTAGGCCAATAAAATATCAACCCTCAGTATTGCCACCCAGAGCCAGAAAACACACCACATATAACTAACAGACAAACACATAAAGACCAAGCCATTCTACAAAGACAGTTAAAGACTTCTACGCTGAAAATGACACAACAATGCTACAGAAAGCAGATACAAATAAATTGAGAAATTCCTTAATATTCCCTGTTCTACAGAATAAATAGATTACCTATCAAAATTCCAAGGCAATTTTGTCTGTGGACAGCCAAGAGATGTGGGACAGCCAAAATATTTCTAATATAGAAAAGTTGGAAGATTCACTTTTTTACCCTAAAAACATTTTAGAAAGCAAAAGTAACCAAGTGGTTGGGATCTTGAATTAGCACATATACATACACCAATGGAATGGAGGAGAATGCCAGCAGTTAATTTGCCCCCACCTTCCCCTGGGCCATGCAGGCAGATGTTGGTAGTGAGGCTGAAGCAAGTCTGTAGGAAGGAACTGGGATCTCAGGGAGAGGTTGGAGGTGGGGAGGGGCTTGAACCCAGGAACATGACTGCAATTGGAATTCATGTAAGTACTTTAATTAAACAAAGAGTTGCAATGGTCTGTGTGAGGATGAAGAACTAGAAGGTGAAACAAAACTCTCCCTGGATAAGATAGGCACTTTCATACTCACACCAGCAGCCTGTCCTGCTCCCTTCCTCATTCCCCAGGGAGACCAAGACTCAACATGGCTGAGTTCCAGAGCCTTTCGTAGGAACACGACCTGGGATATGAGATTGGATGACTAAGATGTGTGATCATTTAGGACAATAGCATTGCTGAAAAATAAATCTTTTAAAGAAAATTGAGGTAAACTGCATTACTAAATCAAATGTTGTGCCCGACACTTGAATTAAATTACCTTAAATACTGTTTTTTCACTACACACCTTTTATTATTTCAGGCAGCATTTGAATGTAATACCTATTCCAAAATTAAATAGACACATCAGAAATAAACATTGCCAACTTAGTTCAAAAAAAGATATTGAACTATCCTTTTTTTGATAATATCTACACTAATAAAAGACAAAGATGCTAATTGACCATACCTTCACTAAGCCCATCAGGTAATCAGATGAGTATGCAAATTAACCGAAGAAAGATGGTCGTTAAATTTGCATACTGCAGGCGGGGTGGGACAGTGCAATCCACCGCCCGACCGCCGCCATCTGGGCCTGCCGTGTGCGACCCAGGGCGGTGGGGCGGGCGGCAGTGTGATCCGCTGCCTGCCCTGATGCCATCCAGGCCTGCCGTCTGCGACCCAGGGAAGCGGCGCAGTCACCACGGGATCGGGCCTGCCATCTGCCACCCGGGGAGTGGGCCTAAGCCAGCAGCTGGTTATCTCCCGAGGGGTCCCAGACTGTGAGAGGGCACAGGTCGGGCTGAGGACCCCCCAACCCCGCCCCCGTGCCAGTGCACAAATTTTTGTGCACCGGGCCTCTAGTTATCTATATAAAAATCCAAGAATATGTACAGACAGGTTATTCTATCTCCTTTTATGAGGACCCCACTTCTATCAGATTAGGACCCCACTCTTGTGACCTCATATAACCTTAATGACCTCCCTAAGCCCCCTATCTCCGAATACAGACATATTGGGGGTTAGGCCTTCAAAAAATTGATTTTGAGGGGACACAATTCAGTCCGTAACAGTCTGCGTCTCAAGTTCATTATTTGTTATGTAAAACCACCCAAAACTGATTCTCTTAATGCAACAATATTCAATATTTCTTAAGAGTTTACGGCAAGGGTCCTCCAACGATGGCCCGCGGGCCACATGCAAATACAAATATTGTATTTGTATACAATACAAATTTGTTCCCGTTTTGTTTTTTTACTTCAAAATAAGATATGTGCAGTGTGCATAGGAATTTGTTCATAGTTTTTTTTTAACTATAGTCCAGCCCTCCAACAGTCTGAGGGACAGTGAACTAGCCCCCTGTTTACAAAGTATGAGGACCCCTGGTCTATGGGTTGCCTAGGTGGTTTTTCTGCTTCATGTGTATTGGAAAAAGTTTTGTGAACTTTTTCACTAGATCAAAACATGATTTCCCCAAACAAAACAAAACAAAAAAACACATCATTTCCCGTGCTTCCAGACCTCAATCCTAGTTTCCTCGCTTGCAGTGTCTACTAACAGCCTCCTTCCAGCATCTATCCACTAGCCAGTCCCAAAGCCATGTCACACACATTAGGTTTTTATTACTGAGCACCTCAATCTCAGGAACTCTTTTCTCTTACAACTAGTCTTTGTTGTGGAATAAAATGCCCAAAGTTTAGTGGCTGAAATCAACCAACATTCATCATTGCACATAACTCCGGGGTGGCTGAGCCCTTCTGCACTGCTTTCACTTAGGCTCATACACACAGGTGCCTTCTCCTGGCAGGGCAGCTGTCTGGGGCCCCAGGGAGCTGGAAAATACCTTGTTTTGAAAATATTTTTAAAGTTTTTTTAAAAAAATTGAATTTACAGAGGAAGGCAGAGATGGAGAGAAACATCCATGTGCAAGACAAACATCCATTGGTTGCTTCCCGAAATTGCCCTGAGCAGCTCTGGAATCATACCCCCAAGTCCAGGAATCAAACCTGCAACCTTTTGGTGGAGGGCACTACAGGCAAACAAATGAGCCAAACGAACAGGGTTAGAAAGACCTTTGAGATAAACTTCCTTACATGGTGACATATTTGTCAGTCATATCTACACTAATAAAAGAGAAACATGGTAATTGGCATACGACCGCTACCCTTTTCATTGGCTAATCAGCGAGATATGCAAATTAACTGCCAGCCAAGATGGCGGCCGGCAGCCAGGTAGCTTGAAAGTAACATGAGGCTTGCTTGCCTCAGTGAGGGAGGATCGTTGGAGGAAACCAACGTTTCCCGCCTGCGGCTGCAGGCCTCTGAGCCTGCAG